GGGAAAGAAACAGAAAGAAAAAAAAATCCCATTCTACAATATGACTTGTTAGTGCAAATCATCCTTAAAGCACAAGGCACAAGCACAACACATCCAAATATTTCATAACTTTGTGCATTTACCTTGCAGACAGATTGTCAATAAAAGTTTGCCTATTGATGGGATACCATTTAGGGAACTGATCTAACACCCAGGAAAATGCAAACCAGATCTCACAAATGATAGATGTCAACCACAGAGGAAAAGCACTATGAACAGGGTTTGTAACTCGATAATGGAAGAAAAGTCCCAAGATTATCAATCGCATGATGATCACTGTTCTGTATGGTGCAATTTTGGATTTTGGCATTGGAATAATTACTGAAAGTGGCGCAGCAGCAGCAGCCTCTTTGGGCCTGCAAAACATATCATTGTGTGAATAATTGAATAAGTATACGAACTTTTATGATAGATTTACAATCAATGAGTAAGTACATAAATATACTGTATTACATTTTATTGTCCATAGCAGGAAATTCTGTGTCATTTTTCATTAAACAAACCTGGTTTCTTCCATTTGCTGCTCTGGTGGAATTGTGGCCTCATGTTCTGCATTAGGTTCAGCCTTTTTCTTCTTGTTCTTTTTACCCTTTCCCTTCCAGCTTTCCACTCTAGTTTTCCAGGTTGATTTCCCAGATTCTTCATGTACTTCATGCACTTCATGTACCTCTACAAGAAGAACGTTATTATAATAATCAATGCTTATAAAGAAATTGTACTATTGAATATGGTCTGAAGTCTCTCTCATTTACCACTATCAACCGTGGACGCTGTGCTGACATGTCTAGCATGGTGTCCAACATCCTACAAAATTCAAGGTGCGGTTGTAAGTGAAAATGTTGGCAACTTAAAATATTCCTAATATTTGACTTTTTTGTTTTTTTATTTTTATTTTTAAAAAGGCTGTTTAGTACTTGTGTAACTAATAATGGCTAGTAAACCATCACCTGAGAGTTATTGATTTCGGAAGCCATTGTGGATTGATTTTCGTGAACCTCTATCTCATGGAAATCATCAACCTTTGTTCTCTCTGTAAAGTATACAAAAGGAAAAAATAACTTAGGATGTTTCAGTATGTATTGAACGAGAAAAACAACCACTTTTTTGAAATAAATAAACAGTTTTTTAAAATATCTATAGATAAATTAAACAATTTTACATACTTTTCATTGCCTCTTTCTCATTATCTAAAACTAATACTCTATTACTCTGTTGAATGATTCTTTAATGCAATAGTTTTAATTAGCCTCCCATGATCATCAGTCTCAAATAACCATTGCATGGGGATTGAATAAGGAACATAACAAGAGTTACAAATCCACATGGCAAACAGAACCGAATCATAAATTTTTCCATGGAATATAGACAATAAAGCATTACCTTCATAGGGAGTGCCACACCTCAAACAGACCCTATGGTCCTCATTGATCTCATGCTCAAAACAAGCCTTGCAAATAGGGAAATTGCATTCATGACAAGCCACAAAGACCTCCCCATTATCATTAAGTCCCACTTGTTCCCCACAAGTGCTACAGAGGGGAACACCAGACTGCACCATGTTTTGGTTTAGCACCACCTTCTATCAAAGGGCCAAAGTGGCAGTATATCTCTCACTGACCCTTTGCTCCTTAATCTGTGGTCGTATGGGTTTTATATGAAGGAGCATAAACCCATTGGGGGGATGGAGAAAGCCATTGTGTGTCAATGCAAAGGGCGTGCATGGTGGAGGTGGTGGTGGTAGGTTCTTTTTGTGAGGTTGGATAGTTGGTGTCATAATTTCTGTGCTACACAACATGGACTGAGAGAAGAGAAGCAATGTCTATTTTATTGGTGAAGTGAGCAATATATCAATTTATTGCAGGAAGTGTAAGGGAGGCTTCAGTTAACAGTTGTGTGGGGTATATCAACGGATGAAGCGGAACAATATGTCAATTTTGGAAGTACAAGGAAGTGAAGCATTATGTTACTTATTTTGTCTTTGAAACCAAAAGAACCGTTTATCATACGCTGGAAATTTACCAGTTTTACCAACACAAAAATAGCGATCTATTTGTTGAGTTATATTTGAAAGAGAATTAATATCATGTGCTCTTTTACCCCAAAAAAAGACAAGTTTCTTTTGAAGAATAAAAAATAGCTAATTGGAAACGATCCCTCCAGGTTGATGATATTAATAAAAGCTCAATGTCTTCGTTTCTGGAAATGATCATATTGTTGAAAGAATAGGTTATGGCGATTGCATATAAATTTCCAAAAAATAAAATTAATTTTAGGAAACATTTTTTGAAGACTTAATATTAGGACACTTAAATAAGCAATTAAGTAATTCATTGCGAACTAGTGTTGGCTTTGATTAATTTTCTCCTTGCTTTACGGAAAATTGAACCCAAGTACATAAAATTTATTTTCACATCTAAGCCAATTAAGTTGACTTAAGGAACACCATTCATCATTAAATATCCAAACTAATGTCAACTAACAACGATGTTTCAATATTAATAGGGATGCAAATGATTTTAACTATCTGTAAATTTTTAAATTTTACTTGTTAAATATTCAATTAAGCTAGTTTATCTTAGTAGGCAAATGAAATTAAATCTTTAGCTTCAATTTACATAAAATCAACTCAAGTTTGATTACATAAATAAATCAGGTCCCAATTTTATAAGTTTGATATAAAAAAAAATAATTTAATGATGATGCATCGATAGTATAAAATAATTTTATACATTTATCAAATCACAATTCACCATAAATGATTTGTTAGTTTTTATAATAATTATCTTAAAAGTAAAAAAAAAATCATAATTTTTAATTAGTTGATTGTGTGATAACATTTTACATTGATAATGTATCACCATTAAATTTTAAAAAAATATAAATAACTTAGGTGTGTATAATAATAATAATAATAATAATAATAATAATCTTATTTCAAAAGAATTATAGTTGCCTAATTTTTATATATTAATTTATTTTCATTTTCTTGTCTTATTTTACTTTACCTTATAACAGAAAAATGTTTGCTAAATATTACATTAAAAACTTAAAATATGGTCGAAGAGTTATGATAAAGAGAGTAAAAGTTATAAATAAATTAAAATATATTCTAACTTTAAGTTTGTAGTTTTAAATAAGTCTATAAATAAACTAAAATATACTCTAACTTTAAGTTTGTAGTTTTAAATAAGTCTACATTGGAAGAAGAAGGAGATGAAAAAAACAAGGAGAAAAAGAAGAATATTTTTTATTTTTAAGCCAAAATCTATCTCACAAAATTTACTAACATTTAGAATATTCTTAAACATTAAATATTAAAATATTAAGACTAAAAATATTACAATACTTATACAATAAAATCAAAACTTTAATAATAAAAACATCAAAATATCTTTAAAATAATATAAAAGAGAAATACACATCAATTAAACATAATTTTAATGTTATAATAACTAAATATTAAAATTTTAATATCTAAAAAATTAATTAATAAAGTTCACGAACTAGTCCACGCAAATTAAATTCATTAAACACGAATGTTTCGAACTAAACCAACTCACTCATGAACTTGAATTCATCTACTCACCCGTAATCATGTTATATACATCAAATATGTCATTTATATTGCATATTATGGAAACTAGAAGGATATAATACATCCTTAAAAATATTAAATATATACCGGTTAAAATATATTTTTAATTCTTAAGCACAACATTTGATACTTAAGTTGATTCTTATATAAAAAAGTCAATTCCTACCATCCTATGGGTATAACCCGCATTTATCATCATTAATAGAATAATATCCGCATTTAACAATTTATACATCATCATTTTTTAACATGTTAAAATATTTTTATTTATCTTTTAATTTTTATAATTAAAAATAGGTATTTTTTAGTTCCTATACTTATATTTTTTTAGTCCTTATATTTTAAAATAAATATTTTTAGACTCTATATTTACAGTTTTTTAATTTTTTTAATTTTTGTCGTTATTTATTTTTAACGTTGTTTCTTTTGTACTAACATGACAAAAATATTAATTTAACTTTGTGTATTTAATATTAAATATCTCTCAATACTTAATGTCTCTTTAGTACTCTCCCCTATAATGTTCATTATTAAGACACTCTTTTTCTAACTCACAAAATTAAGATTTTATCAAGTCGACACAAAATGGACAATATTACATAAAAAATTAACGATAAAAATTAAAAAATTAAAAAATTGTAAGTATATAAACTAAAAAATTTATCTTAAATTATCTGAACTAAAAAAGATTGAAAAAAAATAAATATAAAGACTAAAAGTTTATTTTAAACTATAAAGATTAAAAGATAAGTAAGTGAAATTATAGATACTAAAAAGTATTTTAACCTTACTTATATCTGTCTTTTTTATACCATTAATAAAGATTAAAATATTTTTTTTAATCCTTAGAGTTTCACTTTACCTTTTATTCCTTATAATTTAAAATAAACTTGTTTAATTCTTATCTTGATCCTTCTCAATCTTTATAGTTTAAGATAGATCTTTATAACTTTTATACCTTCAATTTTTTAATTATTTTAATCTCTATCATCAATTTATTTTTTATTACGTTGTATCTTTCATATTAACATAACAAAAGTAATAATTTAACTTATACACCTAATGTTAAATTTATTTTAATAAAATTATTATAAATTAGATCTCTTGACTTTTTGCATTTCTTTTATATCTTTACCTACAAAGCTCATCATCAAAACATCCTTTTTTTTACTCACAAAATTGAAGATCTCTATCACATCTTACAAAATAAACATTACAAAAAAATAACAAATGAATTAAAAGGTTTAAAAATGACAAATATAAAGACTAAAAATATATATATTAAACTATAAAGATTTAAAAAAATTAAAAAAGATAAATATAGAAAATAAAAATATTTATTTTAAATTATAAGAATTAAAAGATAAAATAAATGAATTATAGGGATTAAAAAAGTATTTTAATAATATGAAATCAGATACAAAATTGTCGCACAAATATCACTTCCCATAAATATATACTTTAACCTACTTCTCTAAGCATGAATTTGGCCATCATAGAATCGAAATACAAAATGGGTTTCTTGTACAGATATTGGACCAATCCCTGCACACAAATTACAATGGAGTAAAATTTGCATCGCAAAATAATATGCAAATATCAAGGTTGATTTTCGTTATGCTTGTTAATGTACAGCAGAATAAGTTATTTTATTCAGTATTCACCAACAATTACTCGAACAAGATCAACCTAAATGTATTACAAATAGGATACATAACAAGACTAGCTTCACTTCTAACAGACATTTAACTTCATACTTAATAGCTTTGATAATCGAGTATGTGCAAGCAAAATAACAGGAGAATGGGAAAGTGCAAGTATACACGGCATGAATAACACCATGCAAATGAGCAAGTATAGGTCATCATTGAACAGTTCCTGTAGGCATTGAATCAGGGAGAGAATCGCAAAGCAGGCACCCAGGCAAGTATATCCAGGCAGAAAGCCTTGTGCTTTTAGGACGTTTCCCGTCAAGAGCACGATCTTCGGAATAATTGCAACATTACAATTTCAAACAGTCATTTTAGGTTTTGATTGGTCTCCATAAATACTCATTCCAAGAATCACTGTCATCTAGCTTTACACTATGTTATAGAGTAGACCTTTACTACTTTAGATGTGTCGCATACAACAAGGTTGTCTGTATCAGCTGAGGTGGTACACAGCCAATTGACCTGCCAAATGAAGAGTAGAAATGAGAATGCATCATAGACATATTTGGCAGAAGCAGAACAAGTAACCAACATCCAAAAGTTCCAATGAAATTTTATCACAACTCACTTTTCGAGGTACTTCAATGTTCAAATGTAGGACATCATTGATGTTGCCGTCACTTAACCCAACATCTGAATAACGAGACCAATTCCATACCTTCACCATCTTATCATTTCCTCCAGATATCAGGAATTTACCTCTCTCACCAAACAATGAAAATGCCCTGTGCCACCCACATGAGTAAGGGGACAAGTGAATTTAGTGTGACACTTACAATTGCTATATCGCAGATGAGGAATTGACTTACAGGCAGGAAATAGCTGCAGTATGGCCACCCAAAGTGTAATCCAAATGCAACCTCTTTTTTCCATTTTGATCTGTATCTGTATTGCTAGATGAACTGCCATCTTTTGATTTTGAGTGTGATCCTTTTCGTGAATTTGAAGAGCTTTTTGACCTTGTAGCAGCCATTTCTGTTTCAATGTTAATCACATTAATAGCTCCATCGCCCCTTGCAACAGCACATATTTTGTCTAATTTATCTAGCATGTCAACTTCCGGAACTGCTATTGCATGAACAAAAGCAGGATTGACACACCGGCCAGCAATGCCACTACTCACATCAAATGTAGCTGCAGTGAAGAAAGGACAGGAATAGCAAATTAGAAGTTCTTCTTTCACCTGTTAATTAAGTTATGTTTTCCCCTCATTTCATCTCAACCTTTATCACTCGTATCATTTTAAGGGTATGTATGTTTGATAAGTAAAAGCCACCATGAATAATAAAGTTTCAACAATAAAAACAAAATTAGAAAAAGGATCATTAATTAACATTGCATTAAGTACCAGCAGTGAGTTCAGTCATTATTTAAGCTCATGCATACATATATCCAAACCTGCCTGACTTCCGTGAGAACCTTTTTGTTTCTTTGAAAACCTGCCTGTTTCTATAGATATGACACTTTATCTCATGTAAAACGTAGTAAAGACAAAGTAAGATATTTATGAAAAAATGTACCAAAATCCACTGCTTTGTAGGGGCGCCCTTTGGAGAAGTCCCACAACATGAGCATTGAATCAAGACCTCCACTAATGACTGGGAAGAAAACACAAAATGTAGTCAACTTTCTATAGATATGGATGCATGTTTCTAGAATACTAGCATGAAACTTTCACATTCACATGGGCCTGACATACATTTAATTCCGATTTACAGCCTAGTAATCATAGGACTAGAGCATGCTCAAGCACTATTGTCAAGCACTTTAGTACCTCATGAACATATTAGAGTGAAAGAGATAGCAGTATAGCATGAAGAGTTCTTTGGTCTTTGACCAAAATACCCACACAAGCATTATTATGAGACTACACCTCCTGCACTGTAATGATGCATGATTAAGAGGCCCTCCCAATAATTGCCTTCTTCATGGTTGGTTAATAATTAATATGTAAAGTTTCATACAAATTTCTGTCATTTTCCAATATGACAATAAGTATAGTAACACAATGGAAACCTACAACTACAAGGACAACTCACAAATCTACTCTAGACATAAATTGTATATTGTCATTGAAAACCTTTAGTTGTACAAGAAGGGGGAGGGGACACACAGATTCATATGGGAAAAAGAAAGCAAGATTATATTTTAAATACCTTCCCAAGATCTCCAAGGAAGGAATTCCACAGTGCTACATATCTACAATACAAGGTCAAGGTAAACAACAATATCATCAAATTACTTTTTAATTATAGAAGATCAAAATATGAGAAAAATTGGGCAGTGGGGAGTGGAAGGATGAAATATTGATGTGGATTGAAATAAAACTCCTGATATGCATAATTAGCAGCCATGTAGTGAAGCATTGCTAAGAGGCAAGGATACACTTGTATGACCAGCTCGTAGAGTTTTATACAAGCATTGCTGGCGAATGTCAATTATCTGTAAAAAAAAATTCAATCAACAACGAAGAAAATGAAAATGTAGGATAATTAAACGTTAACTTGGCTTTCTAAAATTAAAGAAATGGGAGAACCGGAAGTGTATACAAAACGATGAGTAATCCCATAACACAAGAAAAGACACATCAGTTTTTAAAAAAAAATTACAAAACCAACTGTATATTTCCATGTGTTTTCTGGCATGTACCAAAGCTTTTAGAATAAAATGCAGGCTTATGGTTTCTTCTGACATCTGAGATAATAAAGCAAAATTACTAGGCACCGGTAGTTAGAAAATTTTTAGAATACAATCCAGCTTATGATTTCTAACGAGAATAAATCAATAATACTTGGAAGTTAGAAAATTTAGTTAATGTCTTCAAATGAAACAAGAAAATGCATCCAAGAAATTCACAGCATCCAAAGGAGAGTCACAATCCCAGCAATAAAAGTAATGAATTAATGATCCAGTAAATATATTTTCAGCAAGAATAATGTCAAGGACCAATTACCCCAAAAGCATAAAGCTAATGGAGGAGAAACATCAGACTAACATCCCATATGAGCAGAGGAAACAATGTGACTCCAAACAACCACCTACATGGCAGGGTAGTTGGAGAAAGAAAGAGAATCTGTTAGGGGCAACGAGCCTACAAGAATAAGAAGGCAGAAGGAGGAACAGGAAGAAAATGAGTAAGGCATAGGAGGGAGAGACCAGGCACAGTCAAACTGCCTCAGGAATTTGCATTTTTTTTTTCTTTCATTGATTCAGTGTGTTTTTGTTTTTATTCTGTCTCACACATCATCAGAAACTCAATTGATATAGAAAATTTGAAATTGCTCAGTCATACTGGGTGAAATCAGAAAGCACAAGATGAATAAATACACGGCATACCTTCACCTCACCATTATCATCTGCTGCAGCAAGAAATGTGGACTTCGAGTTGCACACAACCTACAAAACCAGACACAATTCTATTATGACAGCATTTTTTTAACAAAAGACACCTTCATACAAGGATAGCATCAGTTGATAACTTGATAATACAACAGAATGAAGGAATGTACAGGCAACAATAAGTTCAGGTATAATGCTGTAATCTAGTTTAATAATTTCAATATCCTGTGCGGGTATACTTAATATTTCTGATTAAGACCACCAAACACCAAATAGATTCCATATAAAAATCTCATATACAAAAAAGTTAAGATGACAACAAACATCATATTTATTATTTAACATTTGAGCTAGATCTGCCCGTAACACACATCATGGGAGATAATGCTAAGTACATTCTGCAAATTTGCAGCAATGCATTTGTATTAACCTTGTTAACCACTCTCCAAACAAATGATTTGGCCTTATAGAGAGCATTGGATTTCCACATGGGTTTGTCAATGAGGAGCCTTTGAAAGTTACGAGTCTAGGCAAGAAACAGAAGAATATTTGCATGAGAAAACACTGGAAGGATCTATGGTCCAAAATCTTCTATCTGATTTGGATGAAGGAGAAGTAGGTTTAAGTAAAACCAGAATAGATCATAATTTGTTTGACTTAATTCGGATAAACATCCCCATAAACACTTGTAGGATAAGAAAATAAAATAAACTGAGCTTCTTTCATAAGTTAAGATCAACTAATGCACTTAACTTATATAGAAACTCTCTCATCTAACCACTCCAAAAGTTGAGGTGCATAAGTTGATTGTAAGTCATTGAAGAAGCTCAATTAACTTTATCTTCTTAATTTTTTTTCCCTCCTCTAAGTGCTTATAGAGAAAATTATTGGACAGGGCCTTAGATTGATTGTAATCAAGTGCACAGCTCATACACTCAATTTCTCTTGAACAAGCTGTTTCAACATGATATCAAGATGGTATCATTCTCAGTGATCTAAGTATGTTAATATTCTGTTGCTGGTTCAAAAGATGGAACTCCTTTATTTGGTGTTTGCTTTCACTCTGCTTTAAATTCTAGTGGCTGTCTCATCTTTTCAGGCATGCTCCAGCTCTCCACCACAGCTTCCATCTGCAGTTCTCCCCCCAGTTCAGACTGGCCACAGGTTACCTTCCCAGGGCACGAGGGTACTCTCTACTCTCTGGCCGACATCAGCTCATTGTGTTTTATCTAGTGGTTCTCTTTAGACTACATTCAAGTCCCCTGTTTATCCTCAATAATTGTGCTTCGTACTAGCTGCAACTGGAGGCTGTTCTCAGCACTGGTGACCTCAATCTAGAGGCAGAAACATCTGATTGACCAACCACTGATACCCACAGCCATCTTCCCTGCCACCCACACAGTACTACCATCATCTGCACAACTTCCTCACCTGCAGCATGTGAGGGTGTGTACCATCGCATCCGGCCACCAGCTCTTCCAGCAACAACTCCATCATTGCTTAGACATCATTCCACTCTCAATTTCTAGATTTTATATTTGGACCCACATCAACTAGCTTTGCCTTCCTTCACCAGCCATTGAATCTTTAGCCTCTCCCAGTCTGCTTTCCATAAGCAGCTCTGTTTCCTGGTCTTTGAAAACTCCCATTCCTTCCAGCAAGCATGTTGACTACTGCAAACACCTACAACCACACCTGCTGTACTTCCCAAAACCTAAGAGTGCCTTGAAGGGGAGGGTTAAAATATTAGCAACATGTTACAATATCATCACTTGGTCAATCACAAATTCACAATTATGAATTATGTCAATTAATAGTGATTAGGTTATAAGTTAGATACTGATTATTAGGCTGTAAATTTTCTCCTAATTATCAACTTGGTCACTCCATTGATTGACTGTAATCAAGCTGTAAAAATGGATCAAGTGTGCAGCTGGCACACAACTTCTCTCATCCATGCTCTCTTGCATTATAATTTACTAATCTCCCAATCATTTAAATCTATATAGAAATACAAGCCCCTATTTAATGCTTGATCTTAAATAGAATACAAGTGACTAATGGAAAAATTAAGAATAGTAGAGAAATACAATAAGCAAGGAAAAGTCTCCAAAAAGAAAAAGCATCCTTATTTGCAACATTTTCCATTAACTTGAGCTGTGCTAGCATTTACTGACATTAAATAAACAGTAAATGAAACAACTTCGGTACAAGTGATAGAACTTTGTTTCATATTTATTTACCAAGAAACAGTAGGGACATTCAACAAGATCTGGTAAGTGCATAACATTATATTTGAATACCAATCCTACCAACAAGTATCTACCTTGTTTATCTCCTCTTTGTTATAATTGTAATTCTCCAATGGCTTCCATTGGGCAGTGGCCTTCAGCACAGAACATAATACACAAAGGATCAGTATAATGATTAGTAATCTTTTTAAACAACCTAAATAATTAAGGTGGAACAAGAATAAATCAAGATTAACAAAATATGTATATATATCCAGACATCCTTGAGAAGAAGATAAATAATGCAATAAATGCAAACTCACATATATGTACAGCAGTAGTAAATGGAAAGAAGGGTATCTTGAAATCAAACATCTTGAAGACCATAAAATGCTTACCAAACGCACATCAAAACACTTGATTTCCTTTCCTGAGGAGACATAAATCATATCTTCCATCCCTGATTCAAATGACAATTGTTTGTAAAAAGATGTAAGTAAACTCATTTACAGGATGCAATTGCTACAGTGCCCAAAATTGCTACAACAGGATAACCGCTATTTTTAAATCTTTTTATAATTTTCATAATGTATACTATATACATATATATTCTAAAAAATGATAAAAATTACTCAAAATTAATGACATTCTAATTAACAATAAAAAGTCATGGGTGTCTTAAACAAAACATATAAGTACCAACGAAAGTCAACACTTACAAGATGGGAATCATCAATCATCATCCATAAATCCAAGTCATCTTTCAAATTTTCGCTACTATTATTACAGCTGTAGATTTCATTTTTGGAAATTGAAATCCCAAAAATATTCCCCCCACAAAAGCCCTGACTTCTTTGTTCAGAGGGCTTTTTTGGAATCAACACAGCACTGCAATGGCTGTTATTGAGCCTGCTATTTGGTCTGCTACAGTTACTACACTAAACCACACCAATATGGCAGCCCTTGAAGTGGGTAAGGACCACTCCACACCGGCACCACTACACCGCTTTAGTGGTTCTATAGCACACAATTTTAAAACCCTTAAAGGACCATATGTAGTTCCATAAAATTCTTTTTCATACATGTATAGTTATATATTTATGCACACACAATATTACTTAAAGGCCGAAACTTTCCCACTCTCTTCCTCACTATAACCTCCTCCCTCCCAAAACCACTGTGCATGAAGAATGCAGAGCACAACTGCAGATCTGCAATCATTAAGCAGCTCCTTCAATGAATGTCAATTAATGTAGCAAAATGCTGGTTGATATTAATAAACAGTTCTAAGCCTACCACATTTTTGCTTGAATTGGAGCAACAACAAAAAGATCATGATATCTCAGTCAGTGAATGCAAATTCCACACATGTCCAAGCACTGCTGCATATAGATGTTGGCATGGGAGACAATCAGGACTGGAATTTACTGTATGGCTCTTACTCTTACTTTAAACCCATAACTTATTGAAAAATCTAATTTCCACATTCACATGGAAAATAAACCAGACTGGCATAGTAATAAGTGTGATAAAGCCACATCATATTACATTAGTTTGATATCTACTCTTGTTAGTATGTGTGTGTGTGTGAAACCAATTAAGAATTCATGCAGTTTTTAGCATAAACAAGCATTATACAGCACAAGGGTATTATAGTAAAGTTATCATTGTTATGTTAGTACTGATACATATCAAATAGTACACTGATGACAGAACAAAACTCCTTGTGCTGTCTATCGACCATCAAGTAGAAGCTGTAACAAAAAATTGTATTGTGACTCAACAACTTGCACTGTGTTGTTCTGCTTGCCCTGTCCCTAAACATACATCAAATGCACCCTATAACGTGAGTTACACTGCCCAATATTCTTCTGTAAAAATATAACTTAACAATCCAATCATTTAATTATAACATTCATTTTGATGATCAGTAGTGTCAATTTTTTTTAAAGAACATCAATAACAATGTGATTCATATTTCCACGTACTTTTAGAGTATATTATGTTAATCTTGACATACATCAATATTAGCATAAAATGCTTATGGACTAAAGTGAAATGTTATACATATCATCTACATTATAGGGACTTTCCACCTAACAATGGGTTTTGAAAGGAAAGGGAAGTTATTGAACGCTTTAAGAGTATTTTTTACTTGTACCAAGTTTATCAGACCCTTCCTCATAAATATGACTTAAAGCTCGTAGATGGGACCTAAATAACAAAACACGCCACCTAATCAAAAATGCCAAGATAGTCAAGTTCTAGAATCGCAAAAGTCCATCACATCCCCACCAATGAAATTCTCTTAAAAGCCCTCAAAGATGCCTCCTCCTCATCTTCAAAAGCTCATCACATGCTCTTTAGCCAAAGAACACACATGAAACTGAGGATTAATCTTTCAAGGTGACTCAACAGTTCCTGTACCATGAATCTTCACCAGGTATTTTATCAATCTGTGACACTGACAGGTCACTACATCCAAGCCAGTTGCCAATACATAACAAAAACAGAGATTCACAATAGAGACCCATAAGCCTTAGCACAGGACAGGAGACACCAAATCTCTTTGGGGACTACATCAAATATCACAATGATACTTTGCCACCACTTTATCCCACCTTCACATTAGGTCCCGAAATCTCCATCGTAGCCCACAAAAAGAAAATCACTATAACCAACCCTTCCGCATTACAAATAATAAAAACTATCAAACAGTGAAATCATAACCGATAAATGAAACCGACACTGACCTGACTTGAAACACAAGGACGAAACTGGCTCCACGCTAACATCCATAACCAGTTGCGGCACATCAGGGCATCGCAAGTCAAACCAGCAAACACGACCATCCTGTTTTTTTTTTTTTATGAAAACAAGCACAACTAGAACCAATTAAAACGATGAATTTGTAATAGTAATAAATGAGGTGAAAATAAAGGAAACATTGGCGAATCCTGAACCCTAGTGATTGGCAATGAATTTGGGAAATGGAGAAGGAGCAGGAGCTTACATCGCCGGAAGTGACGATGACATGAGAGCGTTGACGTGAGGCAATGCAGCAGGTTGTGCTGTCGTCGTGACCTTTCAGTCGTCGAGGCTTCAGCTTCGGCTTCTCTGCCATGGATGATGCTTCTGGAAAGTGAACACTGTAAACCTAAATCGGTTCAGGTGTATGGAAGGGAATGGAGCAAAGCCAGAAACGTAAGCGGTGACGTATTTGAACGGAGTCACCAACTTCCTGCGCTGAAATGAAACCGCGCCAGGAATCAATCCTCATTTCTCTTCCCTACTGCTCTAGGCCCTTCTCTCAACCAGATCGG